TGCTGTGTACAGGTCGTGTACCGTAGCGGTGTCCGTGTAGTCGTGACCTGGGTCGTGTGCTTGGCGTGCGTGTGTGTGTGCCGTGGGTCGTGTGCGTGCATGCGTGTACGTGTATATGTGTGGGTGTGTGCGTGCATGCGTGTACGTGTATATGTGTGGGTGTGTGCGTGCATGCGTGTACGTGTGTGTGCGTGGGTGTGTGCGTGCGTGCGTGTATGTGTGCGTGCGTGGGTGTGTGCGTGCGTGCGTGCGTGTGTGCTGGCGGGAGTGAGAGTGTTCGTTCTTAGATACGTGGGCGCGGGTGCACGCGTGTATGTGCGCGTGTGCGTGCGTGTGCACGCGTGGTTGTACGTGTACAGGCGTGTATGTGCGCGCGTGCGCGCGTGGGAATTAAATAGCGTTCCCATGATTCAATTCTAATCGTCTTAGAACGTTCTCGAGAGAAGACAACAGCAAAATGAAAACGAGAGAACGATGTTAAATGTCACTTCCCTTACAAATGACACGTGCATGAGTCATCTAATGCCATCCATACAGCCACCAGGTGACATTATAAATAGCTCAGCTATATTAAACACACACACACCACAGTATATCACCCGATGCTACATCACCTAATATATTCACCGGCGTGTCACGAATGCGCCATATTTAGAAAAACCCGAGTTTGCCATCATTAATTCGACGAGAACCCGCATATTATTTCTCGATAATAATTAACCACACAGAACGCCTTATCTACGTTTCCGCACTGTTCCTCTACTCGTTTCATTCGTCCAAGCCTATAATAGGGGGTCAGAGCAGCACTAGTATAAGATATAGTAGCATGTCATATTATAATACACGAGGCTACAGAGCAAAGAAAGCAGCGCTGACAGGATAATGAAACACGCACTATGCGGCGATGTGTCTGTCTGTTTGTCACACGGCCCCGTGTGTGTATACAGCGGGATGCCCCGCGGCTCGGCGGTGCACGCGGGCACGGCTTAGCTAGTATAGCATAGTGTAGGGAGCGAGACAGAGCCGGACAGCGACAATAGATCACTCTGCGGGAGCCTTGCGCATCAACATATTATCGTCTTCTCGTATTCTGGTTCTCTAGTTTACGGCCCGTCTATGTTCGTCTCGCTTTCTTAGGAGCGCTCTCTCGCGCGCTCTCTCTCTCTCTCTCCCTCTTTCCCTGTTTCTCGCTCTCACTTGCTCTCGCTCTCTCTCTCTCTCTCTCTCTCTCTCTCTCTCTCTCTCTCTCTCTCTCGCTCTCGCTCTCTCTGTCTCTC